AGGAAAGGGTTATATCCACCCCTCCACCTGCAAGCGCTCGTGTTTTCCTTCTTCTTTATGTGAGCTAACGGAGGTAATAGCTGCCCTAGCGATGTCACGCTTCGCTCAGGCTTTCCATTCAGTCACAGGAGGGCTGGTGGAGACACAGCACTGCAGCTGTGTTCGGTGGAAGCACTGATGGGCATGTTTAACCCCACTCCCTGTCCCCTTTCCTCACCCACTGGTTGGTTGACATAAAGATTTCCCTGTATATTCATCTGGCAGGTTGCTGAGAGCTTGGCTCTGTTTTCAAGCAGTAGAAACGAGCCTGGGGTCTACCAGGGATCTCTTGGTGGACAGCAGACGGACCTAGCCCGTTCTGCTTTGTCTCAAGGGTGGAAGAGTCATAGCTATCCCACCTCTCTGCTATACAGTGGGTTTTGGCCAAGGTTTTTCTGTGATACAGATCATGCTGTTTCACACAGAAGGCAAGCAAGTAAAGCCGGGCTCTTGGCGTAGTTGCAAAAATAAACACCACCAGCCAAGCCCACACTGCAAAAAATCACGAGCAGCCTCATAAAGGTGCTTTACAGTCCCTGCGGGACATGATGTATTCAGGGGTCTGAGGAGGCTGAGCAGCCCCTCCTCGCTCCCTCCCGCCTGCTCTGGAAACTCCACGTGTGCCCGGCATGACACACTCCCAAGGGAGTGAGGGCCTGCGGTGGGGAGGCGGGCCAAGGCCTGGGCCTCTTCTCAAGCTCTGGCCTTGATGCTTGCTGTATGGTCCTCAAAACCAGTGTGGACTCAAATGACTATCAAACACTTGTGTGAAACATGAATGTTACCTTCACGAATATCATCATGTAGAAAAGCAACACAATTGTGACTTACTTTCTAGAGGGAAGCCGTAAGGGCACCAGCTATCTTCATTACAATTATATTAGCGTTCCTCTAACTAAGATCAGATTGCTATTTATTATACAGCCTTTGCATGTTATAGACTGTAGGAACAAGTAGGAGCTACCTAAGGAAATTCTTGTCTTGGCAAGCAACCTGCAAATATCAGGGAAAAGGGCTGGGTACACAACCATTAAGAAATATTCTAGCAAGCACCACAGAAATGGAGCATCTACCTATATGTAGAACTCAATTATTTTTGCGAAACTAAAATATAATAGGTTGATTTGAAGCCCTGTGGATAAAGAATGGATTTTTTTTTTTTTTTTGAATTTAGAAGAGTTGTCTAGAAATGGTTCTGCAGTAGTGATCCTGGAATGAAGAGTATGTTCCGTTGAATTTTGTACGTAAACTGCACTGTAACATGCATGAAAAAAGCTTTTCTGATACTCCTTGGAAACTGTCCATTGAAATCCTCCCTCTTTCCGCCCTCTCCACTTCATAGTCTATAAGTTAAAAACCAGTGTTCTAAAAATAGTGTCTATCCTGTGTAGCGTTTTTTTGATTGTGTGTTTGATCCATATAGTAACTATAGGGGTTGCTTAAAACAGAAATACAGCACTGCAGTTTGATGATGAAGGTTATATTCTGTTCTTATTACTTCCTTGTAAGTTCTTATTACTTCCTATAACTTACCTTGTTATTATATCTATACTAAAAAACGAAGAGGAATACAGTATGCCTCTGTATTTTTAATAATTTACCTCTTTTAATATTTTACCTTTAAGCTACCACTGTCTTGAAGTAGTTAGCAGGAAAAAGCAACAACAAAAAAAAGGTATCTAGATTTATATGTCTTGTTGCCTCCTCCAGTACTTTAGAGAGAAGTTCAATATCTCCATTAATTCATTTATTTTACCTGCACAATGTTCTCGAGTAATTTTTAAATGAGAACAGTTTGAAAACTTTGGAAAGCTCCTGCTGCTGCTTGTGTGGCAAAATCCAAGCCCAGGTTATCTCACTTGCCTTACAGCAACAAATGACAACTTGTAGCTGTGTTGGTAGATGACTGCAGTATGCCAGCTGTGGTGAGGCAAACACAAGGCAGCTGAATCTTCAGTGCTAGCAGGCATGGAAAAAAAAGTTAATCCTCTTGAAACCTTACATACATTGGTGACATTGCTCTTCTCTTTTTTATTTGCTTGTTTGGATCAAAAACCGTAACTGAGGGTTGATTGTTTTTTGAATTGCTACTGTGTTCTCCTCCAGTTGCCTTGCTGATATGTGTAGTTCACAGGAGACACCCAGCAGTCAAACTTGCTTAGAACTTCTTAAAATAAGAAACCTCTACTCTGTTCCAAAGCAGCCACTGTGCAGCCATGCATTATAGCCATGAATGGCATGGTTCATTAATATTTATTTATTTATTTTTGCATCAAGGACACAGCCTGGGATCTTTGTTCTGTTTGGCTTTGATTTAGTTTTTTAAGAACACAAGCAATATATACAACTATCCTCACTAGATCTTTCCTCATACCATACCAAAGCTAGGGCAAATAGAGCTTAATTCTTTTCTCCCTAATACTATTTGTCCAACTTCATTTCACTACAAAAAGAAAGAAAGAAACCAACCAACCAACCAACAAACAAACAAAAACCTCAGAATTTAACTTATTTAACTTGTAGTCTATGGCAAGAACAGAAGTACACCTCAGATTGTTTTATTTTTCTCTCACTGATCCCGGAAACCTCAAGGCTGTACAACAGTTCAGAAATAACAATAGTTTTACAGGCACAAGCAGCATCTTTGCTTTCCCCTTTTAAATGAGATAAATAAAAAACAACTATAAAATTTACATGGGCTTACAGTGTTGTCCTTCACTGCAATAACTATGCTCCTGTCTCTGATCAGTTAGCAATGGTCTAAGCAAATATTGTCTCTTCAAACAGCAGCTATGTTGGGAGCAGTTGTGGTTATCTCAGTTGCTGATGTCAGTATGTCAGGCAGGACAGAAACCCTTTTCCCCTGCCCCCATCTGCTGCTTCTCTCATTGTTGTTTCCCCCAGCTCAAGAGACATTTGTTTGAAACCAAACTTTCTAGTCAAGCCAAAGCAAGTCCAACAGCAGGATGACTGCTATTTATTTGGCATCCAACTCCTGACCTATTCTAAGGCTTTTGGACATTCTGCCTTTGATAGTAATATCTATCTGTTTTAACGACGAGAGGAGGGCAGGCTTGTTACTGTTACTCAGTGATGAAGATTTCACAGCTACTCAGTCTTCTCTTGAGGTTCCACAAGTCAGTTTAAACATGTCTAGTGTTTTTTACCTATAACTGACCTTACTGTATTTTGGGGGAGGACAGGGGGCTGAATCTGTGACTCCATCTGTTAGACACCACACAGCTACTAGCAATAACAAGTGGAGGGATCAACACTTAAACCTCAACCACTATATTAAAAAAAAAAAATTGGCTTTCAGACATTATTGCTCCAGCCAAGAACTTGGAGGGCTTTCCTCTTTAAGTACCAAGTATCGAACAAGACAGGAAGACAAACACAGAGGAGCCAACGGAGCAAAATATTAAGCCAGCTCTTAGACTGGCAAGAGAGCTTGAGCCTAGTGAGATTTCCTGCTGTTCCCACTCTCTCTCCCTGTCCCTGCCGAGGTTCCCACAGCTGCGCAGCAGTGCCCTGCATGGCTCCTGCCAAACAGGTGTCTTCGTGCCTTCCCCAGGGCTCCTAACAAGTGACTATTTCAGTTCAATTTGTGAAGTGGAAACTGTTTCTATTATGAGTATAAGCGAGATCTACCCTAGTAACATATTCTGGGAGCCAAAAGTCCACATGTTTTCATAACCTATGCTATTACATAGCCTTACACTTTCCACTGACTCAGTCAGGTCAATGATTTCTTTGTGCTTCCCTTCCATGTTTTACAAGTTGCCAAAAATCCCCATCAATAAGGCAGGTACCCCTTAGCAGGCAAATGCTGTAGCTTTTTTTCAGATGCAGAGGCTTGAACCCACACATGCTCAGAGTCTCAAGTTCAAGAGATGGTTAGTGCAAGAGAACCACTGCAAAAGGCTGTAATTCTTTCCTTATGCATTTAAATACTATCAACACTTCTCCTTTGCTAACAGTTCTCCCATTAATCTCTGTAATTATCAGTTCAGTACTGAGCATAGGACTTTCATCTTACAGTAAGATGAAAGATTAAGATTCTTAAGTTGAGGCTGATGAATGTTGATAATTAACTGCACAGTAACAGATTTTAGCTGAGCTGGTGCTTAAAGTTGATTATGCACAATGAAAACACTACAACTTCAATACTTACTTCTAGGAGAGGGGGAAAAAACTAGCTTGGGCTACACTTCAGATGGAACCTCCTGTCAGGAGGTCCTGTGGTTCATATTTAGGCATCCAGTTTGCATGTTAGTTGAATTGGCATTTCACTACTTGGTATTTTTGACATTTCCTAGAGACACTGGTACACTGAATTGCAAGATACAACACATGCTGCCCATCTTAGAGAAAGGTCACTGAAGTTTCCTGGGGACAAGACAGAAGTGTGCCTCCAGGGGAAGGAGGCACACTGGCAGGATTCAGTAGTAAGAGCAGGCTCTTGAACAATTGATTAAGCTAAGGTTCAAGTTCTGAAATCCATATTTTGGTTATGCTTACTACCCATCATTACATATTTAAACCAAATTTACCTTTACCATAGACATTCACAGCAGTTTCTGTAGCAGGTGACAGTAGTAGTTTATCTAGGTGTTAATGTACACTGCATCTGTACTCTGCTTTAGTGCTACTAAAGTCTACTTTTAAACCTGGAGCTCAGATACCAACCTTGAGCCATTTATAAATCTGGTTCTGTTCCCATGTGATCAAACTTAAGCATTATTCCATTCAGAAATTTTAAAGTTCTCGTGCAGGCAATCCTTCATTTATTAAAGGGAAATTGAGCACACATACACACCCAAAAAAAAAAAAAAAAAAAAAAAAAAAAAAAAAAAAAAAAGGACTGTTCTGGAAAAATTCTGGTAGTTTCCTACAATCTTTCCCCAGAATAATAGTAACATTCAGTCAATACTTAAGAGTGTCTTTATTTTACTCTTAGGTTTTAGGGACATCTTAAAAAGCAGTTACAAACATACTGGTATTACAAAGAAAAGTGGAGGTGCAGTTTCAAAAATCCATAGTGTCTTTAAATATAAAATATATATATACAAACTATTATCTAGGAAGTGAACCACTATTTCTGCCACAAGCTGGTCCTGCCAACCTCCGGGTCATCACTCCCCAGTACCGAGCTCAAGAACTCATTAGAAGGAGCATCTCCAAACTTCATGTCACCGGCATGATCCATAGCATAGCTGCTTAGCCACAGCAAGTAGATACCATCACCTTAGGTTTTAAGGCATTCCATAGTTTTCCCTCGAGCAGTGGGTAAGAGGCATCCAAACATCTCCTGGGAGGCATATGTCATATACACAAAGCCATCTTCATCTTTGTAGTCCCTGTACACTTCTGCCATTGTCAAGGACATACTGGCGAGGCTTTTGTTGTTCACCAGCAGGTAGAAAGCTTGTGTAGCAGTTAAAGCCATTCTGCTTCTGAGTTAAGAGGAGAGGGAAAAAAAAAAGAAAAAGATTAAGTGTTAGCAAATTCAAGGAAGCTTCATCTCTAGTCTTTGAAATAAATTATGTGGAGTAGTAACATGAACTATGTCCAAAAAATGCTGTATAAAGTCATTATGTGGTTTAACATCTTTCATCACCAGGAAGTTAACTTTATGTTTGGAAGCTGGAAGGCTTGTGCTCTGAGGCTTAAAATCAAATTGTTAGACCATGACTGCTACCAAGTCTAGCCTGTGTGTTCCCACCTACCAAAAGAAGTGCTGATTAGAAACCAAAAGCTTCTGTAGCATTGCTATCACAAATGATATCAGCATGGTCTGCTAAAGTATTGGTCTCTGAAAGAACAGTCCTTCTCAAAAGGTATTAAATACAGATCCTCAAGTTATGCATCTCTTATAGAAAATATTAGATATCTAAAAAGCCCTTCTGTAGTTTACAGAAACCTTGCATGAAAGGTATGGGCTTTGTAGTGCTTGGTCAGAGACTGCTGCTGATTTTATGGGATTTCCACATACTGTTTTGGGAAAAAGAGTTGTTTAGAAGCATTAAGAAGCTGTGAGAAGCATTTAGAGCGCTCACAGCTCACACCTGTGAGTTGTTGCAACCTTAAGCAGGTTCAGTAAACTACAGTTTAAAAAACAAACAAACAACAAACAAGTAAGCCAGCAATAGAGCAAGAGCAGAACAGAACCCCAGAGCCTCAGTACAACTTCCTTAAATTCTTCAGGCAGAGACAAAGCAAGACACTCTTCAAGTACTTGTAAGAGATGACAGTCATCAGAGATACCGTTACACTTTCCTCCCACACAAACAAATTAGGTAAGTTTTTACAGTAGAGTGCTGGAAAATGGAGACCTGCCGCCGAGCCCACCACAGCCCCACCTCACCTACCTGATGATGGTTATGAACTGCATCATGGTCAGCTCCTCGGGGACAAGAAACTTGGTTTTGTCCAAGAGAGGGAGGTATTTCTCTTTATGGTACCTTTCAACAATTACCTGTTTTAATTAAAGTCACGCTTAGAAAAAAAAAATCTGAAACACTGAGTTCCTCCCCCCCTCCCTCTTAGAGGAAAAGTTGGAGGGGAAAAAAAAAAAAAAAAAAAAAAAACACCCAATTTTTCTTTTTAAGAAGACG